AAAAGTCTCAGGTGTGAAACGACTGTCTTTGTTTCCAGATCACATCACAGATCGCCGGGCAGATGGGTGAGAAGGTGTTCGAGAATTTGAATCACGATGACACATTCCACAATTCTCATCATGTGCAATTGGCAATGATTCGAAACCATGTTGTCGTCTAATTTGTTATAAATGTAAATAGTTATTAATCTAATAAAAATACATGACGTAGCACAAATAAATATATTGACAAATAACATAGAGCTGTACAAATAATAAGGTGAGATCGGAGTGAGAGTTGTGAGCCGGTGAAGGTTCTATGGAAACAGGCTATCATTCAGTGTACTCCTCTTGCTCCTCCTCTACCTTTTTACGCATCACAGTTCCTGGAATAACGTTATTTACGACCTGGGCATGGGATTCTCCAACAAAACGCGGCAACTTGGATGGAACTAGTTCTTAGGGTTCAAAGGGACAATGGATTATAACTCACTCAAGCAGGTTGCCATCTCCATCATGATGCCTTTGGAGACATCATTCTGCAGAGCACATTTGGTAAGATTGTCCATAAGCCGGAGTTCGTTTGGCATGAATAGACCGCATCTGAACAGAGAGGACGCTTACTCTGAAAGGCGACTTTTGTGAGACCCTGACTCACTTCATTTTCATTGTGCAGATATTTTGAGCTGGATAAAAGCAGCCGAGAAGGCAGTGGTTCATAATTCTAGCTGGTTCTGTGAGTCTCTTGAAGGAAACGCCTAAAAAGAATTCGGAATTAGCCAACATTCTCGGCTCAAACGTAACTCTCCGTCCAAGCACTAGAAATAAGTGGACGTGTTTCAGACCTACCGACTTTCTCGGCGATCTCTTTGAAGTCCTTCTGGAAAATTTCCTCAAATACTGTGAAATTCCGCCGCCTCAACACGTTGCTTTCATTACTAGTACACCTGGAAAAGAATGAGATGATCTCCGAATATGACCGCAAGAAGGAAGGCTGTTACCCAGATCCGACAGCGTCGTGTGTGCACTTCATCGTATTCGTCAGTAAATGCTCGAACTGGTTCAAACAAACAAAATACGCTTTAGGCAGGCCATCCCCAGCCGCACTCTGTAAAATTGGCATTTATCGAAGCTGGGTAAGAAATATTTCTTCATATCATCCTATATACTCTTTCAAATGAAGCACTTGTAAAGTTACCTTGCACGTCTTCATACAACTCTTGAAGCTCATTTGTTGTTTGAGGCCCTCTTCACATTTCATGTACGCATCGCATTGACATTGGCCCAAAATTCGAGCATCAGATGCCACTGTGAAAACTGTCACTGACAGCAGCAATTGAACAGCATATTGGCCGAAAGAATATTACAAAACAGCTCTTTTGAAGTGGTGGAAAATTGAGGATCCAGCAGACGAAATGTAAGCACAAGCCTATTCTGTCCATTCAATGGTCAATCAGTAGCATGAAAGGAACTTCCATGAATCTCCTCCCTCTCAATGGCTCTTTCAGAAGGGATCCCAGAACTCAATGTAGTCTTCTTCAGGTCTCAGCCCTTCACAAAACTAGTGGCAGGGCGGACAACATAATCAGATCAGGAAAACTTTCCTCGAATCCCTCTGAAAATCCCAAAAATTTGTGAAGTTTCTCAAAAAACTTTCCAGAATGCTTCAGCAGGTCAACGTAGCTGCTCTTGCGCCTCTCGAAACACCAGCAACGTATTTAGATCAATAGATTTCCTGCTCTCAGGGAACCGAAATCATGATCCAAAATCGCAGAGGCGGCTCACACCACAGTCAAGTGTGCATAGGACAAGTTCATCACTGAAGCCGCTATCAAGATTGGCGAGTGCGGGCTGGGGAAAGCCTTCTTTTGTGTCATATAACTTGGTGAGGGAATAGTGTTTCAAGGAGAAGGCGTATGTGTAATTCTCGGAGGGATTCGCGAAGGTGGAACTTAGGTTGTGGAGTCGCGCAGCGGTGAAAGGTATTGTTCTTGATGGATTTTCGACGATCTTGGCGAAACTGGTCTGGAACAGAGAAGCATGCCGAATGGGCAGAACTGTACATTTGCCGTTTCTTCAATTACACTTACTCTCCTCCCTCGTTCCTCTCCCGCTCTCCCCACCGCTCAGCAGTCAGTTTGTAAGAGAAAGTAGGAAGAGATGGGGTTTATCCAGGCCTCAGAATCAAAAATGCTGTGGCTGTGGAAAAGGATGGTTTAAGGTAACAAAAGGTTGTAGAACAACTTCTTTGACTTCGTTCCTGCACACGAATCGAATGATTGATGCGGAATGGGTAGGCAATAAAGAAAAAATTATAAGAATTTGTTGAAAAGGCTCAGGTTGGGGGTTTGGTCAACTTCGTAATGCGGCTGTGCTAGTGGTAAGGCAATGAGAGACTGAGGGCTCGAAGGAGAGTATGCGAGAGAGCGCAACAGATGAGAAGGCGCCGGACAACCTGCCGCGGACGGGGAAGTTGCAGCTACTGCAGCTAATTTCGCAAGCACCTAGCGCCCTTATCGGGTAGTTTTCATGCACGGGAAGTGCCACATCGGTAATTATTTCTAGGGGTCCATCCTACAGACCAAAGGAATTCTTCATATGACTTATACCTGGGTTGTGACTTTAAGAGGAGGGTCGAGAAAGTTTTTGAGATCGGACAACAGATGGATGATCCCGCCAACACCGTGGTAAAGATGGAGTGAACATAAGGAAGGTAAGAATCGCTACACAAGAGAAAGGTTCACCGAAAATTGGATAGCAAATTTGTCCATGTGAATTTTGGACAGCAGCTGGGAGCCTCAGCAATAAGGAACTTGGAAATGGCCAGATGTGCTTGCCTATATAAGTGAGCGACTGATGTTGATGTTATGAGCCCGTTCCATGATTCAATTAACATAGTGCTAACAACAGGTTTTCCTTAACATGTGCCATTAACAAAGCCTTGGTCTGAACGACAAAAGAAAAAGAGGATCCGGATAGCAGCAGATCAGCTTCGAGGCCTTGCAGCTTGACATCGCTAGTTGATCAGATGAACGCTTATGGAAAGGATTCAGCAATAGCATCGGGAAATGTAACCTCCACTGCCTAATTGTTTCAGTGCTTGGAAATGAATGTTGAAGAGATTCAGCAGCTTTCCATACTGTTTACTTTGCCCAATTTTCACCAACCACAAAGGGAGATCAGATAACGAACACCAAATAACTACGGCCTCAGAGTTTTACGCGAAATGCTAGATTTATGACAAAAATTGACATTTTCAGTAATCCTCGAAAAGTCTCACAGGAATTCACCGAACACTCGACAGGACTTCAGCCGCTCGAAAGAGCCGTTAAACAGAACACATTTTCAAAAAAAACTATTCAGAAAGAAGAATTTCTCTTGGTCCATTCTCAGCGTTCAAGCCTTCAAAGTCGCAAAACAATCAAAGTCGTTTCTCTCAAATGCCATGC